GCAATTTCCTTCTTTTAGTTGACCCTTGTAGTTTCTTCCATCTCTACTGGATGCCCATTTCAGGTTCTTCCAACCCTAGTAGTTGAATCCTTGCAATGTCTTTCAATGCTACCAGATGACTCTTACTAGTTCCTTAAGGTTCCTTAGAAGGAAATTGCAAGAATCCAACTTGCAATTTCCTTCTAAGTTGAATCCAAGTTGAATCCAAATTACAAGAATTGAACTGTTTGGATCAGAAAGACCCATAAGGGCCATTTGATAGAAAGATATTGAAAGGATTCAACAACTTGGATCAGAAGGAACTGCAAGGTTCAAATAGTCAAGTTGGGAAGGAACTACAATGGCCAACAAGGAGAGTTGGACGGGATCTCCAATGTTATCCCAGAGAGATAGAAACAATGCAATGGTCAACGAGCAGCAGAGTAGGAAACAACCTCAAGCAAGGCTCAACCAGTAAAGTCGGAAGAAACTGCAAAGACTTACCATGGATTTGGAAGCAAGGATCTCCAAGGGTCAAGTAGCAGAGTTGGAAGGAACCACAGCTGTCAGTAAACTCCATTGGTTTACTGTTGCGGTTCCTTCCTTCTCTACTGGATGACCATTTCAGGTTCTTCCAGCTCTACTAGTTAAATCCTTGCAATATTTCTCTAATTCTACTAGTTGAATGACTTGTAGTTCCTCTTGGTTCTCAACCAACTCTACAAGTGGATGCTTGCAGTCTGTTTTGGAAGGTTGACCATTGCAGTTGTTTCCATCTCCATGGGATGACATTGGAGATCCTGTCCAACTCTCCTTGTTGACCATTGTAGTTCCTTCCCAACTCGACTAATTGAACCTTGCAGTTCCTTCTGATTCAAGTTATTGATTCAATTTGTGGAACTACAAGTAATTCAACTAGTAGAATTAGAGAAATATTGTCCACCAACATTCCGTTTTCCATTCTTGAGTTCAGAGTAGAGCAACTGCTTTGGGAGACGGTGGTCGGGCATCCGGACAACGTGGCCGGTCCAGCGGAATTGATGGCGGAGGAGCATCGCTTCAATGCTGGTGGTCTTTGCTTTAACTAGTGGAGCTGGAAGAACCTGAAATGGTCATCCAGTAGAGAAGGAAGGAACTGCAACAGTAAACCGATAGAGTTTACTGACAGCTGTGGTTCCTTCCAACTCTGCTACTTGACCCCTTAGAAATCCTTCCAAATCCATGGTGAGTCTTTGCAGTTTCTTCCAACTCTATTGGTTGATCCTTGCTTGGGGTTGTTTCCTACTCTGCTATACTGGTTGACCATTGCAATTGTTTCCATCTCCATGGGATAACATTGGAGATCCCTTCCAACTCTCCTTGTTGACCATTGTAGTTCCTTCCCAACTTGACTACTTGAACCTTGCAGTTCCTTCTGATTCAAGTTGTTGAATCCTTGCAATATCTTTGTATCGATGGCCCTTCTGGTCTTGGAAGGATCCTTGGTATCCCTTCCAACTCTACCAGTTGACCACTAGGTTCCTTTTAATGGTCTCTAATGGTTGAATTCTTGCAATATCTTTGTATCAAATGGCCCTTCTGGTCTTGGAAGGATCGTTGGTATCCCTTCCAACTCTACTAGTTGACCACTAGGTTCCTTCTAATGGTGTCTAATGGTGACATTCCAGGTCTTCCAGATCTTCAAGGTGACCCTTCCAGTTTCTTCCAACTCTATTAGATGGCCCTTTCCAGCTCTTGCTTAGGATTCAAGGAGTGGGAAGGTGGTGAACTGTGGTGGAAAATGGCTTCTTTTGCAGAAATAAAATCTTGCAAGACCCATTTCTCCCCAGTGGACAGAAGGGCTTCACCACCTTCCTGACCAGTTCCTGGGGCCCAGTGTCTGGAAACCCCATTCGTTGCTCTTTCCAAAGGATGCCCAGCAATTGAAACTATTGCATGACCATCTCCTGGAGCCCCCTCTCCATTTCCCCAAAACGGCTGCAATTAGGAGGTGAGAAAAGTGCCTAAAAGCGTTGGCTGCGCCATTAAGAGAAGTTCCCCTCCATTAATTATATTGGCCGAGGCTCTTAGCGGAATATGTTTCACAGCCAGAGCTCCATTTACATCTGGATTGGAGGAGGCCCAGGATTCAGGCCATTCCCATTGTCGAATTGACACCGTTTGGTGCTGTTTTAATTGCTGCGGCTCGGTTTTATGGAATGATGGGATTGGTAGTGCGCTGAGGCTCCGTCCCTCTTTGGCAGGGAAGGCTTAAAGACCTTGCAAAACTACAACTCTCACAATGCCAGAGAGTTGAGTCACGGGAGTTGAATGAGTCACAATCTTCATTAATTCTGCAGTGTACATAGGGACTTCCAGAGTATCTAGGATCTCAAATGACCAGCTGGCCTTTGTTCAGCTGAAGGTTGCACCATGCCTACTGTTGCACTCCATGTGCCATCACACCCAGACCCTATAACATCAAAACTAAGATGTGCTTTTCTCTTTATCTGGGCGAACCGCTTGGGGTCTTTCTTTGAAGCAATAACTCAATACTTTCAATAACTATGAACATCAACAAAATGTTTATTTCCAAAGTCCTTGGCAGACTTGGCACAGCTTGACAAAGTTACAACGCAAACAGTCAATTTGAGAAATCATAGAGATGTTCTTTTTTTCCTTTTCCTTCAATTACTGAGGTAACGTTTCTCCAAATGGTAGAAAAAAATCCTGGGATCTTTTTACCCTAACCCTGAGCTGCTATGGTTAGAAAGAACAGGTCTTTCCCTTTCTAAGCACAAGGTCAGTTTTGGAGATGAAGTAATGCTCAATAGTACTCAATAACTATTTCTCTCTATTTCTCAATAAGCTTCTCTTTATCTCAATATCTATCTATAACTCAATTGCGCAATTGCTCAATTCCTATATTATCTATCTATCTCAATATCTCAATTGTTCCATTACTCAATTACTATCTATAACTCAATACCTCTCTCTATATAACTCAATAGTACTCACAATGGGTTTTTCAGGGCTCCCTGCCTGACCAACAGCACATCTGAGGTTCTTTTCTCTACTGAAGGAGGCAGGGGAGATTCCAAGATGGAGATCTCAACCCCAGGAAAAAGGGTGGACTTCAAACCCAAAGAGATACTTTCTGAACCAATAAATGCAGAAGGCCTGCAGCCTGGCTTTCCAGACTTTGATACTGTTTAACTTCCAGGGTGCTGCTGGGTCTGTAGCAACCCTGGGGAAATGCAAAGGAATGCTATCCCATGCAACTAAAAGGTAATGCAAACCATGCTCCTGGAAGACAAACACTCCAGACAGGAAAAGCCCACTGACTTAAAACACCACACCGTTGGATGGAAAACAACCCTTTTATTGAAGTTATATAAAAAGCAGGAAAGTAAAAAAAGCACTTTAAAGAAATAGGTAAATCCAATTAGGTAGGAAGATAAGCAGGAACAAAGTAGTCCAGGGTAATAGTCCAGCAAAGTCCATAAAAACCAAGGCAAAACTTCCCAAATAAAATGCAAGGATCCAGGAAACATGAACCCAAGGCATGAATATAGAGCATAAAAACCCAAGGATCAAAACCATGAAACAGAGGCACTTAAAACATGAATTTTCCAAACAAAGCTTCCATGAACAAGAACGAGATCTTGACTTAATTCCAAACGATGCTTCATCTGACTACATATCCTATACTTGGACTTTTATCTCCTCTTTAGCTAAATCTCTTAACACTCAGAAATTGGTTTCGCTTTAGCTGAGAATTTCTTATCTTTTTCTCTCAAAGCTTGGCAGACCACTGAAGCCACTGTTCAGCTCTCCTGTTTTGACTAAACACCTCGCGTCTATCTATTTGCTCATTATCCATTTGCTCATTAATTTCTGTAGCTGGGCCAGATGCTGAGCTGTTTTCATGTTCCCTATCAGGGGAACTCTGGTAACAATTCAGAAAGCACACCATCATCCCCACACCCCTCAGCAGGAGCTGAGGCTAACAGCGGGAGCTCACCCTGCTCCCAAGATTCAAACTGCTGATCTGCTCACATTTGCATGTTTTTGAACTGCTAGGTTGGCAGGAGCTGAGGCTAACAGCGGGAGCTCACCCTGCTCCCCAGATTCGAACTGCTGATCTACTCACATTGGCATGTTTTCAAACTGCTAGGTTGGCAGGAGCTGAGGCTAACAMCGGGAGCTCCCSCTGCTCCCAAGATTCGAACTGCTGATCTACTCACATTGGCATGTTTTCGAACTGCTAGGTTGGCAGGAGCTGAGGCTAACAGAGGGAGCTCACCCTGCTCCCCAGATTCGAACTGCTGATCTACTCACATTGGCATGTTTTCGAGCTCTTAAGTTGGCAGGAGCTGAGGCTAACAGCCGGAGCTCACCCTGCTCCCCAGATTCGAACTGCTGATCTACTCACATTGGCATGTTTACGATCTGCTAGGTTGGCAGGAGCTGAGGCTAACAGCGGGAGCTCACCCTGCTCCCCAGATTCGAACTGCTGATCTATTCACATTGGCATGTTTTCGAACTGCTAGGTTGGCAGGAGCTGAGGCTAACAGTGGAAGCTCACCCTGCCCCCCAGATTCGAACTGCTGATCTCCTTACATTTGCATGTTTTCGAATTGTTAGGTTGGCAAAAGCTGGAGCTAACAGCGGGAGCTCACCTTGCTCCCCAGATTTGAACTGCTGATCTACTTACATTGGCATGTTTTCAAACTGCTAGGTTGGCAGGAGCTGAGGCTAACAGCGGGAGCTCGGCCGGCTCCCCAAATTCAAACTGCTGATCTACTCACATTGGCATGTTTTGAACTGCTGGACTGTGAGGAGCTGGGGCTAACAGTGGGAGCTCACCCCACTCCCCAGATTTGAACCAACATCCCACCTCCAAACTATAGTTCCCAAATATTTCATAACATGGAGCCATGATGGCCAGAGTGGTGCCAAACTGCATCTGTTCTCCAATGTGGATGGCCTTCCGCATCTTCCTTCTTCTCCCAACGCCTTCCTTTTGCCTCTTCTTTCAGGGCGGAGTGACGGACGACAAGAGCGATGACGGCAAATCCATGTCAACCCTCAACTTTGGGGTGAACCGACCGACCATTTCCTGCATCTTTGACTGTGAGTCGCCCTTCTCTAAGGATGATGGGACTTGCTGTTGGTAGAGGTCTGTCCCAGCGAGAGTGCATTTGCATGGGAAAAGTCAGACTGTGGGTCAGAACTCCCCTCGAATACTAGCACTAGGTCACACTGTGGTTTTGTTCCTGGGTTTGAAGTCGAGGAAGAATTTAAAAGGGTCTGGCCCTGAAGGAGAGACCCTGTGGACCCACCAAAAAGGGCTCGCAGATAGTGTTAGAATTGAGCTAGGAAAAATATGGCACCAAAATGGAGTTGTTTCATCAATTCGCGGATACGGGGCCCCGAGGGGTTTCTGTATCCGCGATTCCGTATCCGAGGGGTTTCCGTATCCGCGGTTTGAAGAAACGCAGATTCGGCCTCCCTGGGACGCCTGGAAGGCATCCCATGTGGGCCAGGGGCTGCCCACGGCCCAGAAAAGGGTGAATTCATGCATTACATACTAGTGTGTCAGTACAAGGACACAATGTCTCACTATGAAGAGGTGAAGGTTACAATTCAATTAGTCTTTATTGAGGGTTTTGTTACAATGTTTGGCTGGGGAAAGAAGCGAAAGGAGAGAGCTCAAGGCTGCAGAGAGTCCCTGGTTGAGGCTGCTGCTGGGGCACATTTCATCAACGGAGCATCCAGGAAATGTGGAACTCCCTGCAGCTGGTCAGATCAGCTGGAAAGCAGGGGTCTGGGGCGAACTCGGCATCAGGTTCTCAATGTTATTTCCTAATTGGCTCTGTCATTAAAAAAACATGGGGAAAGTTTACTAAACTGCACAAACTTTGTTTTTGCAAGAGGGACATCCTGCGAGAGCACATTTTGCTCTTGGTGTCCTCGAGCCCTGGAGCCTCCTTTCGCCACAGACTGACCAGATGACCCCATGTAAACGTTTATTAAAAGCAGAGTGTAGGAAGAGCAAGCAAGAATATAAAAGGAATCAAAGTTCAAAAGGTCATGTCCATGAAAACCAAAGTCCAAAAATCCATTCTTCGTCTTAGGCGATCCCTCGTAGTCCGAGGATGATGGTCCTCCAAGTGATGTGTCTTGGGGATGGTTCTGTAGGTGACCGTAGAGCCTTATTCTTGACCCGCATCTTCTCCCGCAGTGAGGGCATCAGTTTCCAGGTGGAAGGCGGTCCTATTCAGGGTTGGCTTGAAGTGCCTTCCACTTGCCATGTTTCTCCCTTTCACCCTCCATTCGTGCCTCTTCAAATTCTGCAGCACTGCTGGTCACAGCTGACCTCCAGCTGGAGCGCTCATGGGCCAGGGCTTCCCAGTTCTCAGTGTCTATGCCAGAGTTTTTAAGGTTGGCTTTGAGCCCATCTTTATTTATTTATTTATTTATTTATTTATTTATTATTCAAACTTCTATGCGGCCACTCCCCTGGGGCTCGGAGAGGCTTACAAGAATGGCTAAAATCGAACACAATTTAAAAACAATTTAAAACAATTTAAAAACAGCAATATCAAACATTAAAAGCCTGTCGAAACAGGTATGTCTTCCATGCCCTGTGGAAAGCTGGTAAGTCCCGCAAGGCACGGACTTCAGGTGGCAGAGTATTCCAGAGTGATGGTGCCACTGCTGTGAAGGCTCTGCGCCTGGTTGCTGTTAGACGCAAGGTCTTGACACTGGGAATTTCCAATAGATCTTGGTCCTCAGAACGGAGGGATCTCTGGGGTTGGGAGGGGGTGAGGCGGTCCCTCAGGTACATTGGCCCCAGACCATGCAAGGCCTTAAAGGTGAGTGCCATCACTTTGAAAGTGATCCGGTGCTCAATGGGTAACCAATGCAGCTGCAGGAAGATTGGGGTGATGTGGCATCTCATCGGAATTCCCGCAAGAAGCCGAGCAGCTGCATTTCGTACCAACTTGAGCTTCCGGATCACCGGCAGAGGAAGGCCAATGTAGAGGGCGTTGCAGTAGTCCAGTCTTGAGATGACCGTGGTCTGGATCACCGTAGCCAGGTCATCCCTGGACAGGGAGGGGGCCAGCCGTCTAGCCTGACGCAGGTGAAAGACAGAAGGCGGTTCTGCTCACGGCGGAGGGAGACCTGGGCCTCCATTGTCAGCAGAAAGAGGGTCCAAAAGGACTCCCAGGCTCTTGACCAACGATGACGGGCGTAGCGCCTCGCCATCCAGGGTGGGCAGATGGATATCCCCACTGCCCGGTCGACCCAGCCATAGGATCTCCGTCTTTGCTGGATTCACCCTCAACCTGCTGGCACGCAGCCATCCAGTCATGGCCTCGAGGCACTGATGGAAGGAATCGGGTACAGAGTCCAGTCGGCCTTCCATCTTCAGCACCAGCTGAGTGTCATCGGCGTACTGGTCACACTCCAGCCCAAAACCTCGAACCAGCTGAGCAAGTGGTCGCATATAGATGTTAAACAAGAGAGGGGAGAGAATGGCCCCCTGAGGAGGAACCCCACAAGAGAGAGAGGGGGGACCTCTCAGAGACCAGGCCTCCCCTCTCCACTCCACCGACATTCCGTTTTCCGTTCTTGACTTCGGATAAAAAATGTTAATGTAAGATTAGTGTAATGTGAATGTTTAAATGTAATTTTGTGCAATGTCTGTGAATGTAACCTGATTGCATTACCAGAGAGTGTATTGACACTGAAAGGGTTAATCAAATCAGTCAAGCCTCTAATGAACTGTGAAGATGTGACCCTGAGTGTGCCTGGAACGCGTAGGGAGGATCCAGAGATAAGGTTTCGTTCATCCTTCTTACTTCAGTGTCTTTTGTCTTGTTCCTCTCTGTTTGGTTGGATGTAAATGCGAATGTGTGCTGTTGTATATTTGCTCTGCTCAGTAAAGCTAAATGTTTGCTTTTACTGAAGTCTCAAAGTGTCCATTCTTCTAAGCTCCAAAGCTTCTGTCGCACTCTTGACAGAAAGATCATTTGGAAATATTATACACATTGTCAAGTTATTATTATTGTTGTTGTTATTATTATGGATCATCATAATCATCCAGTTTATCCAAGCAGCTTGCTTTCTTTGTCGGTGGTTCTTGTCTGTGGGAGTTTCTTGGCATGTATTTTTTGTTTACTTGTTGTTGTTTGTTTATCTTTTCCTCCCACTGTAGATGGAAACAGGTACCACTTGCGCTGCTACATCTACCAAGCCAGGGATCTCGTTGCCATGGATAAAGACAGCTTTTCAGGTGAGACACTTTGCTTCTTAGATGCACAATATAGAAGGTTAAACCAACCCCGTATTACAGTTTCATACAATATGTTTGTGTGTATACATGTAAAGGTTTTCCCCTTGACATTAAGTTTCGTTGTGTCCGACTCTGGGACTCTGGTGGTCATCTCCATTTCTAAGAAAAAGAGCCGGCGTTGTCCGTAGACACCTCCAAGGTCATGCGGCCACTGGCATGACTGCATGGAGCGCTGTTACCTTCCTGCTGGAGCAGTTCCTATTGATCTACTCACATGTGCATGTTTTCAAACTGCTAGGTTGGCAGAAGCTGGGTCTGACTGGATGCCCTTTGGGGGTCCCTCCCAACTCTAGGACCCTTTGGTTTTATAGAACAATTTCTCCACGAACCTGTTGATGTTCATGAGTCTGGCTGGCCATCTGTCAGGAGTGCTTTGGTTGTATCTTCCTGCCTGGTAGAAGAGGGTCCGGCTGGATGACCTCTGGGGGTCCCTCCCAACTCTAGGAGCCCTTGGTTTTAATAGGCCGATTTCTCCATGAACCTCTTGATGTTTATGAGGCTTGCTGGCCATCTGTCAGGAGTGCTTAAATTATATCTTCCTGCCTAGTAGAAGGGGATTAGACTGTATAGACTGCTTGGCAGCCCAGTAGAATCTTTGGAGGATTTTGAACTGGGGCTGGATGGCCATCTGTTAGGGGTGCTTCACTTGTATCTTCCTGCCTAGTAGAAGGGGCCCAACTGGATTCCCTTTGGGGTTTCCTCCCAAATCTTGGACCCTTTGGTTTTAATAGACCGATTTCTCCATGAACCTGTTGATGTTTACGAGGCAGGATGGTTATCTGTTGGTGGTGCTTTGGTTGTGCACTTGTTTGTAAGTCAGATGCTTGTAATTTGGGGATTGCCTGTGATGTGTGCTTTTGGCACCAACAGCATGCGTGTGCACACAAACATTTCCCCTGTTCTCCTCAATGGAGAGGGAAGGGACTGTCTGTTTGCATTGGAGAGTGGGATGGCCTGGTCCGGCCTTAGGTGGCCCCATGAGACATCCCTGGAGGTCAAGGGGCCGCGCCATGACTCGCTTGACCGGGAAGCGATGGATGGGCCGGAGGGAGAGCGCTGTGTTCCCTTCTCCGCCGCAGCCTGTCCTCTCTACTTGGAGACTAGGCGATGACGATGACCGATGACCACAGCATGAGTCAACTTGCTGCCCCCATTCCCTCCCTCCCCAAATGGTCAAATGTGGGGTTATTAGAATTAGTAGTTTGATGTCAGTTTCCTTTCCGATTGGGGAGGTTGTTAATGGATTCATGTGTTGTCAAAAGCGTTCATGGCCGGAATCGCTGGGTGTCATGTATCATGTTCTGCAGTTGATGGTGGTTGGTGGTGGTAGGCCTCACAGTTGGTGATGGAAGGGTTAATGTGTTGGGACTCAGTCTGTGTGTGAACCTCTGATTGTATTGCCTAATGCTCATGCCAATGTTGATGCTAATGTTGATGGGCCTAGTTTGGATAGTGAGGCTGAAGTGATCAATGAGGACGAGGCTCAAGATGGAGACACTTTGGGTAATGAAAATCCTACAGGCTTTGATTTGGAGGCTTCAAGAGAAAAGCCAAGTTCTCATGAGAAAGAAAATCCACTCCCTTCTCCTCCTGGCCCGAGCTTGCAAGATAACTCAACACCTGGTCGGGGCAATGATAACAGCCGCAGTTTGGAGATAAGCCAGAACCGCAGGGAGACTCAATGTTTACATAGGTCCGAGAGAATCCGACAACTGAAACCAAAGATTAGAGTTAGCTGGAATCAGTTTTTGGGATTTAAGAGTGGCCGTGAGGGGGGTTTCCTCAGACCAAGCATCGTTTAGTATCAAGTACAAACCTCCTGGGTTTTCCAGTTTCCAGCGGTCTGGTCTCCAAGGAAATTTCTGGCTATTCAAGTGAGATTAGCAAGGGCTAATCTGCTCATGGATTTCTATTGAGAGATTTCTGGACATTACTGCTTTGGATTTCCTGCGAGCTTTCTGGACATTGCTGTTTGCTGTTTCATTTTGGATTTTTTACCTTTGGACTTCATTCTATTTGATATTCATCATTCAATAAAAAGGATTGCATTTTTCCTAAACCAAGGTGTGGTGCATTAATGACTAGAGGGCCCTGTTTCCTGATCTAGAGTGCAACATAAGGTAAGTCTTAGTTCTAAAGGGCTGAGTAATCTGTAAGTAAGAGTTCATGGGTGAAAGCAATGAAGGGTGGAGGCATGCAAGAGATAGGCTGCAGCTGAGTGTTTCTGGATACAAGGAGCGAGCCTTGGGACGGATCTTCAGAAGAAAAGTATTTGTTTTATTTTGGTGGTAGATGCTGCTGGTTTTCCCCCAGGTTTAGTGGATTTTCGGTATCCTGACCTGTTGCTTGAACCCTTGGAACTCTGGAACCTTGAATCTTTAGACTGGCTTTTGACTATGGTATAGACTTGTGATCCCTGGACTTTGCTCATTGAACTCTGTGTGTTTGACCACTGGACTGGACCTTTTGACTACGATGTTATCTTGAACCTGTGACAGCGTTTGCTGTCAGTTTTGTTTTATATTCTGTGGCCGAGTGCTATCTTTATGTTTTATGTTTTGGATTATAAAAACTGCTAGAAAGTAATTACTGCTTTAATTAAATTGTTTCACATAAACTGGGAATTTGTTTGGTTCATCTCTGCCTAAATAAGGCAGAGCCCCAGCAACGAGACAAATACTTTTCTCCCAAAGATCAGACCCAAGGCTAGCTTATTATGTCTAGAAACACCCAGCTGCAACCCATCTCTTGCTTACCTCCACCCTTAATTGCTCTTACCCATGAATTCTTACTTACAGATTACTCAACCCTTTAGAAGTAAGACTTACATTAACCCTTCCATCACCAGCCTGTAGGCCTACCACCACCAACCACCATCAACTGCAGCACATGATACATGACACTGGGTTGCTGTAAGTTTTTCAGGCTGTATGGCTGTGTTCTAGAAGCACTCTCTCCTGACATTTTGCCTGCATCGATGGCAGGCATCCTCAGAGGTTGGGAGGTCCTCACTGACTGTCAGCCCAGCTCACTGTTTACCTAAGCCGTTCGAAAACAGCTTGAGCTGTAAGTAGAGAAATTAGGTACTGCTCAAAAGCAGGGGAGGTATTTTATGAGACTATAAAAGAAAAGATCTGAAAATGCCGGTCACAGAGGACGGAGCGACAGCACCCCCCTGTGGCTGGATTCGAGCACAACCTCCAAGGCGCCAAAGAGCTGGACGTCAACACAACATACCTCCTTTCTGTCTTTTCTGCCCATTGAATGTTTGACATGTATGTGTACTCAGTCTGCCCTGAGTACCCTTGGGCAGGTTGGGTGGAATATAAATAAATAAATTGTTGTTGTTGTTGTTGTTATGATCGCGCCTCTCTCTTCCTGTGCAGACCCGTACGCTGTGGTCTCCTTCCTGCACCAGAGCCAGAAGACGGTGGTGGCGAAGAGCACCTTGAACCCCACCTGGGACCAGACGCTCATCTTCTACGAGATCGAGATCTTCGGGAACCCGCAGAACATCGCCGACGCCCCTCCGAACATCGTGGTCGAGATCTTTGACCACGACACCTACGTGAGTGTCTTTGAGGAGTGTGCCAATCGTAGCAGGGAGCCCAGCAAAGCCAGAGTTATCTCTCGCAATGACCTTCCCATAACACAGAATATGAAACAGTGTAGATGTACCAATGGAAGACCCGCTGCATGTCTGGGCCATACGGGAAGGTCGAAAGGCTCACGGGGTGTTTGTCTTTTGAACAGGGAGCCGACGAGTTCCTGGGCCGCTGCCTTTGCAAACCCAGTATGGACCCGAAGCCCAGGCTGGCCTGGTTCCCCGTCCAGAGGGGCAGACAGCCGGCCGGAGAGCTGCTTGCCGCCTTCGAGCTCATCCAGCGGGAAAAGGTGAGCTGTGTGTGTGTGTGTGTGTGTGTGTGTGGGGGGGGCATTCCAGGTCATTGAGTCACAGACCACCAAAGGCCATCCAATCCAGCTCTCTTCTTTCCACGAGGAAAGAGGGACACCATGCAAACTCTACCGACAGATGGCCATGCATGCCCCGCATAATAATAATAATAAAAATAATAATAATAATAACAACAATAACAACAATAACAATAATAATATCAACAACAATAATATAGCTGGAAAGGATCCCCAAAGGTCATCCAGTCTAACCCCCTTCTTTCCACCAGGTAGGAGGGACACCATCCAAACCCTCCCAACAGATGGCCATGCATTTCCTGCATAATAATAATAATAATGATAATAATGATAATAATAATATCAACAACAACAACAACAATAATAATATCAACAACAATAATATAGCTGGAAGGGACCCCCCAAGTTCATCCAGTCTAGCTCCCTTCTTTCCGCCAGGCAGGAGGGACACCATCCAAACCCTCCCAACAGATGGCCATGCATTTCCTGCATAATAATAACAATAATAATAACAACAACGACAATAATAATGATAACAACAAAAATAATAGACCTTACAACCTCTAAGGATACTTGCCACATATGCAGGTGAAGCGTCAGGAGAGAATGCTTCTAGAACATGGCCACACAACCCGAAAAACCTACAACAGCCCAGTGATTCCAGCCATGAAAGCCTTCGACAATACAACAACATCATCATCAACAACAATAATAATAACAATATAGTTGGAGGGGACTCCCAAAGGTCATCCAGTGTAGCCCAGACAGGAGAGTCACCATTCAAACCCTCCCGACAGATGACCATGCACCGCCGGCATAATAATAATAATAATAATAATAATAATAATAATAATAATAACAATAATACTATAAACAACAATAATATAGTTGGAAAGGACCCCCAAAGGTCATCCAGTCTAGCCCCCTTCTTTCCGCCAGGCAGGAGGGACACCATTCAAACCCTCCCGACAGATGGCCATGCACCCCCTGCATAATAATTATAATTATAATAATAGCAACAACAATAAGATAGTTGAAAAGGACCCCCAAAGGTCATCCAGTCTAGCCCCCTTCTTTCTACCAGGTAGGAGGGACACTATCCAGACCCTCCTGACAAATGGCCGTGCATTAACAACAACAACACCAACAACAACAGTGTTGGAAGGCAGCCCCAAGAGCCTTTTAATACAGCCCACTTCTGCTTGAGGATCTCTCCCAGTTCCAGAGTAATGTGTCTTGGCTGGGAGTCCAGTGGAGTCTCCTTCCTTTTCTGGAGGTTTCTAAGCAGAGGCTGGATGGCCACCTGTCAGGAGGGTTTTGACAGTGTCTTTTTGCATGGCAGAAGGGGGCTGGGCTGGATGACCTCCGGAAGGGTCCCTTCTGAGCTCGCCCGCTGAGCCTATGCTTCTCTCCAGATATTCACGCCTCCAGATATTCCCTTCTCCATCTTCTCGTCTCCACCCTCAACTCATCCTTTTCCCAAAGTCCTTTTCTCCTGCTTTCGACCCAAATCCTTGCCATCGAGTCCGGGAATGGCTCCTCTGGATCGCACCTCATGGAATGTTCTTGTGTACGCAACAACAGTTTTGGCGCCAAGGCTTTGTTTATTGTTGAGATGTTCTTTTTACCCTGTGTGCTTCAGGTTGCATTTGCACCATGGAAGGAATGCAGTTCGATTGCACTTTAACCCCCGTAGCCAAATGCAATGGGATCCTGGGAGCTGTACTTTGCCCATTCTGGCAAAGATGGGTACAGACCGTGCAATACTACAACTCCCAGGATTCTGTTGCCTTCAGCCAGGGGTCAAACTGCATTCCTTCCACAGCGTAGAGTCTCAAAGTTTGCAAAGCAACCCATGGCATAGATGTTTACTCTTGGGTTTAGGGAGAGATTTGCAAGTGGTTGTCATTTTGCAGCAGCAATGTGACTCCGCTCTGGGTTTGAGTCTGGACGTTAAAGAGCCTCTCCAAGGCTCTGCATCTTGTCCTGAAAACAAATCCCACAACTTGCACAGTCCTTTGAGGTTCTGACTAAAACCCAAAGCGGATTAGCCATGGAATTGCCATGCAAGGCTACAGCCACCACTGGGAGCCCCTTCCTGAAAATGCAACACTTCCAAGAACTCATGCAGTTGCAGATATTGATCACCCATTTGGATCAACAAAGTCAATAGCTACCGAAAAAAGCCACAGGAGACCAAAAAGTAATTGGTATATGCTGGCTGGTGGCTTTCATGACCTTGGGTGAATAGTAATAATAATCGTTGTTGTTGTTGTTGTCTTCTGAGGATGGCCTCCAGCACCAATGTAACCAAATCTGAAAAATGTTCTGTTCCTGGTTTAAAAGTATTACTTTCTGTTTAATCGTGTGGCCTTTGAAACGACTTATGGTACTTTTGTTGTCGAGCAATTTAGAGTGGCTGTGGATAGAGAGACCCAAGCCGTTGTGGGTTGCCTGGTGAAAAAGAGAAGCCAGTATTCCAGAATAAATCTTGCTAAGTTGAAGACAAAGCCACCGAGGTTTTATTCCATTCCAGCTGGAAAAGGATGACGATTTCAGTAATCTGCCAACAAATCGACATAGCCCACTGGGTAGAGAAATACAAAATATATAGCCTTCAGATTCAAAAGTTCCCATGTCCACCCCCCAGAGCTGGCTTTGTTATGATTGGCTGTGGCGTCAGCAAGCCAGGAGGAGCTCCAATGAGGGTTCTGGCCCTGCTTTTGGCTGCTCAGCCAATGAGGTGGAAGGGAGGGAGGCAAGAGGGAAACAGTGAAGAATCATAGAATCATAGAATCAAAGAGTTGGAAGAGACCTCATGGGCCATCCAGTCCAACCCCATTCTGCCAAGAAGCAGGAATATTGCATTCAAATCACCCCTGACAGATGGCCATCCAGCCTCTGCTTAAAAGCTTCCAAAGAAGGAGCCTCCACCACACTCCTTCCGGGGCAGAGAGTTCCACTGCTGAACGGCTCTCACAGTCAGGAAGTTCTTCCTCATGTTCAGATGGAATCTCCTCTCTTGTAGTTTGAAGCCATTGTTCCGCATCCTAGTCTCCAAGGAAGCAGAAAACAAGCTTGCTCCCTCCTCCCTGTGGCTTCCTCTCACATATTTATACATGTCTATCATATCTTCTCTCAGCCTTCTCTTCTTCAGGCTAAACATGCCCAGTTCCCTAAGCCGCTCCTCATAGGGCTTGTTCTCCAGACCCTTGATCATTTTAGTCGCCCTCCTCTGGACACATTCCAGCTTGTCAATATCTCTCTTGAATTGTGGTGCCCAGAATTGGACACAATATTCCAGATGTGGTCTAACCAAAGCAGAATAGAGGGGTAGCATTACTTCCTTAGATCTGGACACTATGCTCCTATTGATGCAGGCCAAAATCCCATTGGCTTTTTTTGCCGCCACATCACATTGTTGGCTCATGTTTAACTTGTTGTCCACGAGGACTCCAAGAAATGTCTAGTTGACTGGACTAAGGTGACCAGTGTTTGCCAAATGGCTGAGTGATAGCTTTAGGCTCTCAAGCCTGGCCTAGGTTATAGTTTGATTCTATGAATTAACATTCCTATCTAACCCTGAGAGGCTAGTCCTTTGTCACACTGTCCTGTGATATGGAGTTCATTGATGAAGTTGATGCTGGTTTTGGGAGATCGGGATGTGGCACAGCAGGGAGGTGGATGACAAATCCCGGGTTCCTCGCCGATGGAGTGGTGTCCTTTGTGTTGGGTGATCCAAAGTGTCCATAGACCTCGGAGTGTCCCACCTCGGAGTTTGAGGTCTTCTGGGGGGGCCCTGCTCTCGACCCCACCTCTATCACAAGTGAGATTGGTGGGGACAAGGAGCAGGGCCTTCTCAGTGGTGGCCCCTAGCTTGTGGAATTCGCTCCCCGGGGAAATTGGTCATCAACATCCCTCCTCTTCTTAGCCTGAAGAAGAGAAGGCTGAGAGGAGACATGATGATAGCCATGTGTAAATATGTGAGAGGAAGCCACAGGAAGGAGGAGGGAGCAAGCTTCCTTTCTGCTTCCCTGGAGACTAGGACGCAATGGAAGAATGGCTTCAAACTACAAGAGAGGAGATTCCTTCTGAACATGAGGAAGAACTTCCTGACTGTGAGAGCCGTTCAGCAGTGGAACTCTCTGCCCCGAGGGAGTGTGGTAGAGGCTCCTTCTTTGGAAGCTTTTAAATAGAGGCTGGATGGCCATCTGCCAGGGGTGATTTGAATGCAATATTCCTGCTTCTTGGCAGAATAGGGTTGGACTGGATGGCCCAGGAGGTCTCTTCCAACTCTTTGATTCTATGATTCTATAATTCTAAGGACATAGACTCCGAAAGATTTGGCAGGGAGCCCTAGAGACCATCTAGTCCACGCTTCCTGGCATTCAGGCTTTCTCTCTGTTCTCTTTCTTGCAGCTGGCTGTCCACCACATCCCTGGCTTTGAGGTAAGGACTCCTTTCCTGGCTCAAAAGTCCCAAGGGCTGGTATTTGGTTGCCAGCCCAAAGCAAATGTTTCCTGTGCAAGAAACCTGTTTTCTGTGCAGAAAATGCTTGTTTTTTGTGTGTCTCTAAATGCCATAAAGCATAAGTCATCTATTGCAAAACAACAACAACAACAACAAACCAAATCAAAACAAAACCCTTTCACCCCCAGCTGAAGCCGAGCACCCCCCCTTCCCAAATAAGGGATAGTGACTTATAGTTCTGCAAAGGGCAAGGGCACCAGACTTCACAGTAAGGGTTAAGTCTTAGTCACATTGCCAAGGCACTAACAACAACAAGGACCCCATGAGACTTTTGGGGAACGGCTGGATCTTGGGACTTCTGCCCTTCGTGAGAGTTGTAGTTTCCCAAGGACCAGCTTCGATCCCAGCGTGGCAGCTCTGCCTAATGTTTTGGACTCACAAGGACATCTTTCCCACTCATGAACTTCCCTCAAAATGAACTTATGGACTCACATTGCTTGGAAATAATTTCTTTATTAAATTTCTTTGGTGGGTGGGATGGAGAAGGGGTGATTGATATGAATTTCTTACAATTTCTATATACTTCCCTTCTATGTATTTCCTCCACAAGTCTGACCCAGCCATGAACTCTTTTGCCCTTTGGAAGGCTGATCAGGAATCACAAAAACACCTATTTACTTGGAACTCACATCTGAACAATGGGACCTGGAGTTACTATTTGACTTTAGGAGGGGGTCCTCAGACTGTGATTTCCTCCTCTGCCAAGTTTCCCTTCACAACAAGCATCCTTCTCAGCCTCACCTTTTACCTTATCTGATCCTGGAAGGGGAAAACCTGAATCAAATGATTATCCCTAATCACTGATCCATCACAAGAACAAAAAAAAAACTAGTTTCCTTGGCTGGCTGATCCCTCGGGCACAGGAAATCCAGGACAGTGGAATGTCCTCATCCTCTCTGGACACCTCGTCCCTCTTCCATCCCGCCTCCCTCTCACTGATTTGCTAAGGAGCCGAAGCAAGGGGAGTTTTGAAACTTTCAGACCTGTATTGTCGAAGGCTTTCATGGCTGGAATCACTCAGTTCTTGTGGGTTTTTTCGGGCTATAGGGCCATGTTCTAGAGGCATTTCTCCTGACGTTTCGCCTGCATGTATGGCATGTCAGACTACACAGAGAAGCCATTGATGCAGGCGACACGTCAGGGAGAATGCTCTAGAACATGGCCATATAGCCCGAAAAAACCCACAAGAACTGAGTTTCAGACCTGTATTTTGCCATAAATATGCCTCTGATCAATGTACTGGTATGCATGTGGGTGAGCTACCCCCATATTTGCATCCGACTCAGCTGAATCGCTCATTAAACCTCGATGCCTCTTCTTCGCCTTGGCAAGAGTCTCATTTCAATTATTAATTAGGCCTGGGTAACAATGGAAAAATTTGTTTCTAAAATCGATTTGTATTTGGGGTTTTTTTTTGTTTCGATATTTAAAATAATTACAAAATTTTCCTTTTAAAAAGTTCGATATTTACGAAATTTCGTAAATGGTAAAAAATTAACGAATCGATTTCCGAAACAATAACGAATCGATTCGTTAATGGCGGGCGCGACCGCGAAATACGCTAAAAAACCTCCAAAACCTTCTGAAGCTTCCCTCTCCCTCTGTTGTTGACTGTTGGTGTGATATTATAATTTTTTTTCACTAATTAAACCATAAAACTGGCCCAGACATGCGGAAATAATAACGAAACGACCTCAAACAATAACGAAACGAATACAATATCGAAATACGAAGCATTTACAAAACGTTTTTGAAAATTCGTTTTTTTTAATAATTGCTCCAGAATGGTTCGTTATCGTTTTGTAATTGAAAAAATTAACGAATTATTAACGAATTACGAATTAACGAAACGAAACCGCCCAGCCCTATTATTAATATTAATAAAATTCCTGGAATCAGGCTTCTCTGATGGCTCGCCAAGGTCATGGACCTTCTTTGGTGCGGTCCTAGGGGTCTCTCTTACTGGGGAGACCCTCCTAAAGTCCGTATCGACTTCACAGCTATCCGCCATGTTGTTGTTTTTGTTGTTTGTACTGACTGTGCTACAGCTCCCAATTCAGACCCTTTCAAGCCCTTGGAACCAAGTGCAGAATGAAACCCAAGAGGGTTGATGTTTTAATTATTTGCAAATGCAATATTTTTTTTCTCATTGTTTTCCCCCTCTCCCCCTTTCTCTTTTTTCTCTCATTCCTCCTCTTCTGCCTTAAACCTGGAAAACCCCAAAGATGGAGCTCTCAGTTTTGGATGAGGTGAGGCATTGCTCAGATGATCTCTCTCTCTGTGTCTCTCTCTTTGGTGGCATCATCTCAGAAGGGCTTCCCTTAGGCATGTTGTTGTTGTTGCATGCCTTCAGGTCATTTCCAATTTATAGCAACCTCATTGTGGGGTTTCCTTGGGGCCGAGAGAGTGTGTCTTGTCTAAAGCTTAACAGTGAGTTTCAGTGGCCGAACAGGGATTCAATAAAAATATAAAGATGTCCTGTTGCTACAAACTTCAGCAAAAGTACCAGTTAATAATGAGGAAAACAAACTAACTAGGATAGTACACAAGCGGGGATTCGAATTCAGGTCCCCGGAATCATCGTCCCAATGCACAAACTATTGGATGTTTACACTCAAATGTGAAAGGTCTCAGGCTGTGAGGCCAGAGGTGAAACAAATTAGTTTGAAAATGTTTAACCTTTCATTAGCACAAGATCTACATGCTGTAAATAAATTAATAACATTAGCAGAGTCAAAAGCACAACAGAATTGAGCTGAGCTATAGTCAGGAGAGTTTGCATTTAAAAGGAAAATGTCAACATGTGTGTTGAGCAGGGGTTTCCAAACATGGGAAGTGTGGGCCTGCTTTTGGCTGATGAGAGAGTCAAGTTAGTTGTTGTTGTTGTGTGGCTTGAATGCATTTCAGACAGTGGCCTGTGCTGCCACAGAGTCTCCTTCTCTGGAGGTTTTTCAGCAGAGGTGTTGGTATGGCCGATTGTCGGGAGGGCTTTGATTATGGCAAAGGGGAGTTTGTAGTTGCCACATGGCTCTCCCCTTTTCTTCCCAAGGAAGGAGCCACAGCAAAAGGGGAGCCGGTTTGGAAAACTCTTTCTCTCCTCCTGAGGAGCCCACCTTTTCCAGGGACCTGATCCCCAAGAAGGAAGGGAGAGAGGGAGGGAAGGAGGAAGAGAAGAAGGAAGAGAGGAAGGAAGGAAGGGAGGGAGGGAGGAAGGAAGAGAGGAAGGAAGGGAGGGAGGGAGGAAGGAAGAGAAGAAGGAAGAGATGGAGGAAGGAAGGGAGGAAGGAAGGATGGGAGGGAGGGAGGGAGGGAGAAAGGAAGGGAGGGAGGGAGGGAGGAAGGAAGGGAGGAAGGAAGAGAAGAAGGAAGAGATGAAGGGAGGGAGGGAGGGAGGGAGGAAGAGAGGAAGGGAGGGAGAGAGAAAGGAAGAGAAGAAGGAAGAGATGAAGGAAAGGAGGGAGAGAGGAAGGAAAGGAGGAAGGGAGGGAGGAAGAGAGGAAGGAAGAGAGGAAGGAAGGGAGGGAGGAAGGAAGGAAGGAAGGAAGAGAGGAAGGAAGAGAGGAAGGAAGAGAGGAAGGAAAGGTGGAAGGGAGGGAGGAAGAGAAGAAGGAAGAGAGGAAGGAAGGGAGGAAGAGAAGAAGGAAGAGAGGAAGGGAGGGAGGGAGGGAGGGAGGATGGAAGAGAGGAAGGAAGGACAGGAGGGAGAGAGGGAGGGAGGAAGGAAGGACGGGAGGGAGGGAGGGAGGGAGAGAAGAAGGAAGAGAGGAAGGAAGTAGAAAGGAAGGGAGGGAGGGAGCGAGGAAGAGAAGAAGGAAGAGAGGAAGGAAGGGAGGAAGGAAGGGAGGGAGGGAGCGAGGAAGAGAGGGAGGAAGGAAGGGAGGGAGGAAGGAAGGGAGGGAGGAAGAGAAGGAGGAAGAGAGGAAGGGAGGGAGGGAGGAAGGGAGGGAGGAAGAGAAGAAGTCAAGAAAGGGTGGATGGAAAGAAGCAAGGGAGAGAGGGAGGGCTGGAGGGAGAGGGCCAGCTGAGATTTCAGCATGGGCCGTAATTGGCCCGCGGGATGGACTTTATACATGCCTGTTGTAAGACACAGAATCTGTGCCTGTTATGGACAAACCGTGAGATTCCAGATGCTGTTGGATTACAGATCCCAGCACTCCTCTCCATGGCCTTGGTAGCTCAACAAGACATGAAGTGCTGTACAATTCCCAATGTCTTCTTCTACATGAACTCAGCGAGCCACTTGCTTTCAAGGATCAGGATGCCTCGATGTGCAATTATCTCAGGCATGGGCCAACTTGGGCCCTCCCACCAGGTATTTTGGACTGCAACTCCCACAATTCCTAACAGCCAATAGGCTGTTAGGAATTGTGGGAGTTGCAGTTCAAAACACCTGGAGGGTCCAAGTTTTCCTATGCCTGAGTTATCTGTATGCAGGATGTCAGTCTTTGCTGTGAGTGAGAGAGAAGGCAGGAGTGGGATTGTGCATGCCTTCGTGCAGAGTCATGCACCGGATGATGGGAGAGGCCCCTGCCTTTCCGCGCTGCATGCATCGACTGGTGTGTAACGTTGTCTCTTGCTCTCTCTTCCCCTCCGCAGCTGTGCACGCCTGCCTTCTATTACGAAGGGCTCCTCCAATGGGTATCTCCTTCTTTTGGTCACCCGCTCTTTCCGCTTGCCGGCCACATAACGGGGATGAGCAAATGGGCCAAAGGGGTTCAAAGCATGGCTTTACTGGAGGACGAGCGCCCGTGGGTCACTCCTCGTCGGGCATGTATGCATGCAAAGAATGAGATCGTGGTCTCCAAAGGACGGCAGGGAAGACCACCATTGATATCTATATTTATATAGAGGCATCTCCGAGTTACAAACATCTGACTTACAAATGACGGCTAATAAGAACGGGGCTGAGACAACAGGAAGTGGGAGGAGTCAACTCCCGGAAGTGTTATTATCATGGGGAAAATGTCCCTCCATGGAATCTTTATCCTCAGTCCTTATTTCTGTTGCACAGAGTCCAATAGTTACTAACTATTGTACAGGCTTTGTTTATTTACAAAGCCTATACAAAAAAAGAAAAAAGAGAAGTTCCCAAAAAGCAGTGGGAAAGGTGCTATGAAATAGCAGTAGTCCATATATGCAAAAGGTCAATAGTCCAGGAAGCTGAGAACATAGGCATAAATCCATAAGCATGAAATACAGGAACTTTTCCAAGGCAAAAATTCATTCAGGAACATAGGCAAACACGGGAGACTTGAATCATGAGCATGAGAGCTGAAACAGGAACTTGACTCTATGACAAAGTTGTCTGCTCTGGAGACGCCAAGTAAGCGTCACTTAATTTAAGCTCAGGCCCAAGTAAGAATCCATGAGCTCGTGCCTCTGAGACCTGGGTCTCAAGGACTTCTCTCAGAGTCTTTTTGAACATCTAATTAATCTATCCTTGACTCCCTTCATGTGGAGGCCTAATCTGATATCATGGGAAAACTCTCCATCTGCACATGCAGAAGGCCTTGAGGGCCGATTCTGAAGAGAAACAGACTTTTCCCCGATTGCTAAGGAAAGGACATTGGCATTCTAAACATCTCCTGTCTCCTCTGCTACTGTCAGCACTTCTCTCTGATCTGAGGCCTGCAAATCACCCTGATCACACACCGACTCATCAATGGAAAACCCATCATCCACTTTGTCCTCTGAGGAATCCCCAGCATCTTGCTGCTGAACCCCAACAGTTTCCACAACAAGCCAAATTCTTCCAAATCCAATTGTTACAGGGGCGGAAAGTGAGGTGAAATCTCCTGAACAAGGGGCACAGGCATCCAAACAAACACAGGCAGGGGTGTTAATCCTTTTGTATGAGAGCATATATAGATATATGCAGCCAAGCTGCTTGTCCATATATATATGGATGAAGTTACACTAAAAAAAATGCCTCTTCCGACTTACATACAAATTGAACTATAGAATCTCTCTTGTTTGTAACTAGGGGACTGCCTGTACATGCATGCAAAGAAAGGAATCGTGGTCTCCAAAGGGAGGCAGGGAATACTACCAGATAGATAGAGAGATAGAGAGATAGAGAGATAGAGAGATAGAGAGATAGAGAGATAGAGAGATAGAGAGATAGAGAGAGAGAGAGAGAGATAGATAGATAGATAGATAGATAGATAGATAGATAGATAGATAGATAGATGAATAGATGGGTAGATGAATAGATGGGTAGATAGATAGATAGATAGATAGATAGATAGATAGATAGGTAGGTAGGTAGGTAGGTAGGTAGGTAGGTAGATAGATAGATAGATAGAAAGAAAGAAAGAAAGAAAGAAAGATAAGATGATAGATAGATAGATAGATAGATAGATAGATAGATAGATAGATAGATAGATAGATAGATAGATAAGAAGATAGATAGGAAGATAGATAGATAGATAGATAGATAGATAGATAGATAGATAGATAGATATTTAGATAGATAGGAAGATAGATGGATGGATGGATGGATGGATGGATAGATGAATAGATAGATAGATGGATAGATGGGTAGATGGGTAGATGGGTAGATAGGTAGATAGGTAGATAGGTAGATAGGTAGATAGATAGATAGATAGATAGATAGATAGATAGATAGATAGATAGATAGATAGATAGATGTTGTAAGCCTCTGGAGGACTTTGGCACCAGCGCGTGTTGACAGCTGAGTGCTGGGCCTTTTGGTCCTATCTCACAGGATGGCCGTCCTTACGGATGCTGTTCTCCTGAACTTCTTTTCCTCCTCACTCTCTCCAAGTAAAGACCAGAGATGCTTCTTGGCCATTGCTCATGCCTCACCGGTGGTTCTCCCCCAACCTCACCTTAGCCCTGTGCCGTCTTGCCCTCCTAACTCCTTTTCCAGCCTTACCAACATGCCCAACTAAATGCATCTCTTATATTTACATCGGTGTTCCACCGCTCACCATTGGGTGTCCAATACCACCATCAATGAAGCGCAGAAGTTCTGCATCCATCTGATCCAAAGGTCTAACTGATCTCCTATGGCAAGTTGGGCATGTGTGGGATGCCCAAAGGATCCCAGAGCTGGAAGGGGCCCCAAGGGCCATCTGGTCCAACTCCCTCCTATTGCAGGAATCCTACTGAGAGAGGCAGGAGCCCCCCGTGGCGCAGTGGGTTAAACCCCTGTGCCGGCAGGACTGAAGACCGACAGGTCGCAGGTTCGAATCTGGGGAGAGCATGGATGAGCTCCCTCTGTCAACTCTAGCTCCTCATGCAGGGACATGAGAGAAGCCTCCCACAAGGATGATGATGATGATGATGATGATGATGATGATGATGATGATGATAATAATAATCTTTATTTATACCCCGTCACCATCTCCCCAATGGGGACTTGGAACGACTTACATGGGGCCAAGCCCGAACAACAAACTACAATATAAAAATACAAATTGCAGTAAAATAAAGGATGGTAAAATCATCAAAACATCCAGGCGTCCCCTGGGCAACGTCCTTGCAGACGGCCAGTTCTCTCACACCAGAAGCGACTTGCAATTTTTTGAAGTCACTCCTGACACGACAAAAACAAACAAACAAACAAACAAACTGAGGGAGGCTTCTCCATGGACTTCAGCTTTGGCACAGCAGTGCAATTTGTGACCCATTGGCTGGCTTACGTTCTTGGACCTACATAATGTTGAGGAAAGGGATGGGAGCAGGTTGCAAGGGGGCCGAACCAGGGATTGGGCTATATGGCCATGTTCTAGAGGCATTCTCTCCTGACTTTTCGCCTGCATCTATGGCAAGCATCCTCAGAGGTAGTGAGGTCTGTTGGAACTAGGAAAATGGGTTTATATATCTGTGGAAAGACCAGGGTGGGACAAAAGACTCTTGTCTACTGGAGCTAGGTGTGAATGTTTCAACTGGCCACCTTGAATTATTATTATTATTCACACAGACACACATACAGAACAGGTTACTCTTTCAGGTGGCTATTGAGCTTTTGTGTGTGTGTGTGTGTGTGTGTGTATTTACCCAAGTCTCATGCTCCATTGAGTCTAATGAGCACCTCAATTTCCAAAACCCTGAAACCAAAAAAGTATTTGCTGCCAAAGGTCATACATGGCTGCAAAAAGTGCACTCTTTGTCAATAGCTTTATCTTCTGTGCAGAAAAGGATGCAAACCTTTTATATCAGTGGCTTAGCTGCTAATTAATGCAGTTTAACGCCACACTAAATGATGTTATGGAGTTTTAGGAATTGGAATTGTGCACCAGCCCTCTTTGGCAGAGAAGGCTCAAGACCTTGTGAAACTAAAACTCCCAGGATTCTGCAGAATGGAGCTGCAGGCAGTTCAGGTGGGGTCAAACTGCATTTAGTTCTCTAGTGTGGATTCATTTGCCTTTGCACATCCTGAGCAAAGCAGCAGCGGAGACATTTGGAGAGGATACCGAGGCCTTCAAAGCGAGGCTGTCACCCTATGGTTGGCTACCAAACCTGCCCACAACATGCTTGGGGTTGATCCCGGTCCCAGATCGGTCCCAAATCCATCTGCGGTTCCGATTCCCCTCCCAAATGGAGTTGGCAAAGTCATCCTTCCCAAGAAGCCTGTCTGGGTTTGGCAGCTCCTGGCAACCGCCGAGGAAAAATCCAGAGCCTCGGGCAACCCTCTCCGTAGCCGGATTAAATATACACCGAGAGAGATCTATAAATAAATACGACCCGGTCTGATGTTTGAAATATATAAACCTCCTTAATTTAATGCAATAATGCGTTCGCTTGGAAACAGAGAGGGCCTTCCAAATTGCTTCCAACTGCCCTCCGCTGAGAGATTCCCTCTCTCCCTCCTTCTCTCTTTCTGCTCTCCAAGGACTTTCTTCTCCTTTGGAGACTCTCGCCCCCAAAGCGTCTCATTCGCCTGAACCCCAATCTTCAAGGGCAGAACAAGGGGAAGGTGGACTTGAATAATAATCATATTGGGTCCCAGATGATCTTTTGCTCTCCATCCTGGGGTCAGCTTTGGAGGAAAAGGAATCAGAGAATCATAGAATCCAAGAGTTGGAAGAGACCTCCTGGGCCATCCAGTCCAACCCCATTCTGCCAAGAAGCAGGAATATTGCATTCAAATCACCCCTGACAGATGGCCATCAAGCTTCCAAAGAAGGAGCCTCCAACACACTCCGGGGCAGAGAGTTCCACTGCTGAACAGCTCTCACAGTCACGAAGTTCTTCCTCATGTTCAGATGGGATCTCCTCTCTTGTAGTTTGAAGCCATTGCTCCATTGCATCCTGGTCTCCAGGGCAGCGGAAAGGAAGCTTGTTTCCTCCTCCCTAGGACTTCCTCTCACATATTTACACATGGCTCTCATCATGTCTCCTCTCAGCCTTCTCTTCTTCAGGCTAAACATGCCCAGCTCCTTAAGCCGCTCCTCACAGGGCTTTTTCTCCAGACCCTTGATCATTTGAGTCCCCTTCCTCTGGACACATTCCAGCTTGTCAATATCTCTCTTGAATTGTGGTGCTCAGAATTGGACACAATATTCCAGGTGTGGTATAAACAAAGTGGAATAGAGCATGGGGAGCAGGATTTCCCTGGACCTAGACACTATGCTCCTCTTGATGCAGGCCAAAATCCCATTGGCTTTTTTCCCCGTCACATCACATTGTTGGCTCATATTTAACTTGCTGTCCACGAGGACTCCAAGATCTCTTTCACACGTACTGCTCTCAAGCCAGGCGTCACCCATTTTGTATCTTTGCATTTTGTTTTTTTCTGCCCAAGTGGAGTCTCTTGCATTTGTCCCTGTTGAACTTCATTGTGTTAGTTTTGGCCCATCATCTCTCTAATCTGTCAAGATCGTTTTGAATCCTGCTCCTGTCCTCTGGAGTCTTGGCCATCCCTCCCAATTTGGTGTCTCTTGAATTGTGGTGGCCAGAATTGGACACAATATTCCAGATGAGGTCTAACCAAAGCAGAATAGAGAATGGGGAGCATGACTTCCCTAGATCTAGGCACTAAGCTCCTATTGTCTCATTCGAATGAACTCCAATCTTCAAGGGCAGGGAATGATGGAGTTGAGTAATAATCGTATTGGGTCCCAGTTGATCTTTTGCTCTCCATCCTGGGGTCAGCTTTGGAGGGAAAGGACTTCCACTTTGGTTTGCAGCAATTGGGGGAAGTGGCCATTGGCTCTCCACGTTTTCCATGTCACCAGGTGGAAAAAGCCCATTTCTGGCCCTAAAACAACTAGGAAAGAACTAGGATCAATGTTTTTTTTTATTGAGGACTTACTGACTTACCGTATATACTCGAGTATAAGCCGACCCGAATATAAGCCGAGGCACCTAATAATTTTACCACAAAAAACTGGGAAAATGGATTGACTCGAGTATACGCCGAGGGTGGGAACTGCAGCATTTACGAGTCAATTTCAAAATAAAAATAGATACCAATAAAATTATATTAATTTAGGCATTGGTAGGTTAAATGTTTTGGTGTCCAATTCTGGGCCCCACAATTCAAGAGAGATATTGACAAGCTGGAATGTGTCCAGAGGAGGGCGACTAAAATGATCAAGGGTCTGGAGAACAAGCCCTCTGAGGAGCGGCTTAAGGAGCTGGGCATGTTTAGCCTGAAGAAGAGAAGGCTGAGAGGAGATATGATAGCCATGTATAAATATGTGAGAGGAAGCCACAGGGAGGAGGAGGGAGCAAGCTTGTTTTCTGCTTCCCTGGAGACTAGGACGCAAGAGAACAATGGCTTCAAACTACAAGAGAGGAGATTCCATCTGAACATGAGGAAGAACTTCCTGACTGTGAGAGCCGTTCAGCAGTGGAACTCTCTGACCCGGAGTGTGGTGGAGGCTCCTTCTTTGGAAGCTTTTAAACAGAGGCTGGATGGCCATCTGTCAGGGGTGATTTGAATGCAATATTCCTGCTTCTTGGCAGAAGGGGGTTGGACTGGATGGCCCAGGAGGTCTCTTCCAACTCTTTGATTCTCTGATTCTATTTTTAACAGAGGCTGGATGGCCATCTGTCAGGGGTGATTTGAATGCAATATTCCTGCTTCTTGGCAGAATGGGGTTGGACTGGATGATGGCCCAGGAGGTCTCTTCCAACTCTTCGATTCTATCATTATTATTATTATTATTATTATTATTAAACAGAGGCTGGATGGCCATCTGTCAGGGGTGATTTGAATGCAATATTCCTGCTTCTAGGCAGAATGGGGTTGGACTGGATGATGGCCCAGGAGGTCTCTTCCAACTCTTTGATTCTATTATTATTATTATTATTATTCTTTTAAAGAGAGGCTGGATGGCCATCTGTCAGGGGTGATTTGAATGCAATATTCCTGCTTCTTGGCAGAATGGGGTTGGACTGGATGATGGCCCAGGAGGTCTCTTCCAACTCTTCGATTCTATGATTCTATGATTCTATGAATATTTACATAAAACTGTAATTCAAGATAAGACTGTCCAACTCTGAATAAACCATTATTCTAACCTTCTTCAATGTAAATATGCTGACATGTCCTCCAATAATAATAATAAATAGAGTAAAATAATAGAACGTAATAATAACAATACAGTAAAATAATAAATGTCTTAATAACAACAATAATAAATGTAATAATAATAATAACAACAACAAAGTAAAATAATAAATGACCTTGACTCAAGTATAAGCCGGGGGAGCCTTTTTCAGCCTAAAAAAAGGTCTGAAAACCTAGGCTTATATTCGAGGATATACAGTATGTTTTTACTGCTGTTGTTTTAATTTTATTGCTGTTAACATTTTTTTTAAATTATACTGTGTTTTTGTGGCATCGAATTTTGCCTTGTAAACCGCCTCGAGTCGCTGGAAGGCTGAGGGGGGGGGGGGGCGTATACAAATATAGTAAATAAATAAAATAAATAATGGAATGTGATGAAATTTGCCCCATGAAAAAACTTAGGGAAGTTTGAACCAACTTTGGAGGTGCAACAAAACAGTGTAAGCCAGGATTGCATCTATACTGTGGAATTGATTTGGTTTGATTCCACTATAGCTGCCATGGCTTAGTGCTATGGAACCCAGGGAGTTGTAGTTCTACAAGGCCTTTATCCTTCTCTGCCAAAGAGTTCTGTTCGGTGTATTGTCGAAGGCTTTCATGGGTTGTTGTAGGTTTTTTCGGGCTATATGACCATGTTGTAGAAGCATTATCTCCTGACGTTTCGCCTGCATCTATGGCAAGCATCCTCAGAGGTAGTGAGGTTGCTTGCCATAGATGCAGGTGAAACATCAGGAGAGAATGCTTCTAGAACATGGCCATATAGCCTGAAAAAACCTACAACAACCCAGTTCTGTTTGGCTTTGGATCTGAGAATGGCTCGACTACACTGTAGAATTAATGCCATTTGGTCCTAGTTGAACTGCCCTGGCTGAATGCCATGGAATCCTGGAGTTTTACTCTCCCAAAGAGCACGAGTGTCTCACCAAACTACAGCTCCCAGGATTCCATTGCATTGATCCGTGGTGCCAAACTGCATTAATTCTGCAGTGTAGATGCCCTTCTGACAGTGGTCCACCTTTAATTTAGATTGACCCATAATTGCAGGAAACATGGGCGAAATGAATGGATGCATGCCTTCTTCTAATGCATGGTTAATCATTGGAACTCCTTGCCACAGGATGTAGTGGGAGCTGTGGGTTTATGTATATATACATACACCCACAGCATATATATAGAGGTATCTCTCACATCCAGAACCAAATTTGGTCCAGCCTGGGAGGGCACTATTGCATTCACCCTCCTCCCCAATTTTGGGCTTCCCAAGAGCAACTGGCTGGCCACAATTAAGAGCTGTCCGATGGACCGGAATGCCTTGGCTGTAATGCAGAGTGACTCTTGGTTTGCTCTCAGTGATCCATGCTTTGCTTTCCTTCCTGCTCCAGTCTGCAGAATTGGACCTGCCGTACCCTCCGCCGCAGAGAGAGCCCAACATCTACATGGTCCCTCAAGGCATCAAGCCCGTCCTTCAGCTTACAGCCATCGAGGTGGGTGCAGAGGACCACTCAAACAGATAAATGCCTCCCCCCCAACCTATTCTGCAGAAGACCATGCAAACACTTTCTTGGAGGTCTCCAAGGCTATTCTGCAAAAATCCATGCAAACACCTTCTTGGGAGTCTCCAACCGTACTCTTTAGAAAACTATGGAAACATTGTTGAGCTTGGTTGGACTCCATGACCCACAAGGTCTCTTCCAACTCAATGATTCGATGATTCTGTTCTTTAGAAGGCCATACAAACCCCTAGTTGAGGATCTCCAAAGCTGTTATGCACCAGGCCATTCATGCACCTTCTTGGGGGTCTCCAAACATATTCTTCAGAAGACAGTGGAAACATCTAGTTGAGGTTTTTAAAACCTGTTCTTCAGAAGGCCATGCAAACTCCTAGTTGGTGATCTCCAAATCTGTTATGCTGAAGACTATTCATATACCTTCTTGGGGGTCTCTAAGCCTATTCTGCAGAAAACTATCCAAACATCTGTTTAGGGATCCCCAAGCTTATTCTGCAGAAAACCATGCAAACACATAGTTGGGGGTCTCCAAATTTATTCTTTAGAAGACAATGGAAACATCTGGTTGAGGTTTTTAAAACCTGTTCTTCAGATGACCATGCAAACTTCTGTTATGCAGAAGACCATGCAAACACCTTCTTGGGAGTCTCCAAACATAGAAGACATTGAAAACATAGACTTTTCAGTCATCCAGCCTATTCTGCAGAAGGGCATGCAAACACCTAGTTGAGGGTCTCCAAGCTTATTCTGCAGAAACATCTAGTTGAGGGTTTAGTTGGAGGGTCTAGTTGGAGACCTAGTTGAAGGTCTCCAAGCTTATTCATGCAAACACCTAGTTGAGGGTCTCCAAGCTTATTCTGCAGAAGGGCATGCAAACACCTAGTTGAAGGTCTCCAAGCATATTCTGCAGAAACATCTAGTTGMGGGTCTAGTTGGAGGGTCAATTGGAGGGTCTAGTTGGAGACCTAGTTGAAGGTCTCCAAGCATATTCTGCAGAAGGGCATGCAAACACCTAGTTGAAGGTCTCCAAGCTTATTCTGCRGAAGGGCATGCAAACACCTAGTTGAAGGTCTCCAAGCTTATTCTGCAGAAACACCTAGTTGAGGGTCTAGTTGGAGGGTCAATTGGAGGGTYTAGTTGGAGACCTAGTTGAAGGTCTCCCAGYTTATTCAACACCTAGCTTATTCTGCAGAACACCTAGTTGAGGGTCTAGTTGGAGGGTCTAGTTGGAGACCTAGTTGAAGGTCTCCCAGCTTATTCATGTAAACACCTAGCTTATTCTGCAGAAGGGCATGCAAACACCTAGTTGAAGGTCTCCAAGCTTATTCTGCAGAAACACCTAGTTGAGGGTCTAGTTGGAGGGTTTAGTTGGGGACTTAGTTGAAGGTCTCCAAGCTTATTCATGCAAACACCTAGTTGAAGGTCTCCAAGCTTATTCTGCAGAAAACCATGCAAACACCTAGTTGAGGGTCTCCAAAACTATCCTTTGGAGGACAATAGAAACATTGAGTTAGCGTTCACCAAACATATTCTGCAGAAGGGCATGCAGACACCTTCTTGGGGGTTGCTAAACCTGTTACGCAGAAGACCAAGGAAGCATCTAGTTATAGGGATCTCCAAACCTATTCTTTAGAAGTGCATTCAAACACCTTCTTGGGAGTCTCCAAACCTATTCTTGGAAAGAGGAGTTGCATTCGTTTAAGGCATTTCTGCTGACACGGGGAAGACACAACAGTTTGGTTCCCACTGATGTTTAGACATTTGAGGTTGAGATGATGAGAGACGGCAATGCCCAACATGCCCGTGGGGCAAGAATGCCAGCCCTCAGCCAGGCCCTGTCTCTCATCAAGCCACGCATCACAGAAGGATGGGGAAAGGGCCCAAGCCAGACTCAACCACATCAGAGGACCCCCTTCATTGTACACGTTCCTTGATCTGTGATGCTATTTGGGGTCTAATTGCGTCTTCTTTCCAACTGCAGATCTTGGCCTGGGGGCTCCGCAACATGAAGAGCTACCAACTGGCCAGTGTGACATCACCCAGCCTCCAGGTGGAGTGCGGAGGGCAGGTGGTCCATTCCTGTGTCATCAAGAACCTCAAGAAGAACCCCAACTTTGACATCTCTGTCCTCTTCATGAAAGTGGTATGCTGCTTAACAAATACAGGAAACTGCTGGGGGAGGTCATCAGGAGTTTTAGAGTACGGTGCTACCTGTATGCAGATGGTGGAATTCCCCGCAATTCTGGAACTCCCTGCCCAGGGAAGCCTGGATGGTGTCCTTATGGCAGGAGGTTATTCAGACAGGTGTGTCCTTCCGTGATGCACCCATCCCACCTGCAATGTTTCCATGCAGGATCTATCCCAGGCATGGTCATACTTTAGCCCTCCCTCCAGGTGTTTTGGACTTCGATTCCCACAATTCCTTCCATTCCCACAATACAGCCACTTAAGTGGAATAGGAAAGGAAAAAGGAAAAGGAAGGGGCCTGAGTCTGTTAGAAATGGTGGGAATTGAAGTCCAATACACCCGAAGGGAAGGCCAAAGTTTGCCCATGCCTGATCTATCCCCTTCCCCTTCACTCCTGGTAAAAAAGGGTTGGACTCAATAATCTTTGGGGACTCATCATGTGATCCTATGTGATCCCATATTGATGGGAAGGAGTCTGCTCGTATTTATTTGAGTCTAATGCGCCATTAAATCTTATGTGCACCTCAGTTTTCAATCCTGGGTGCAGTAGTTTGACACGTCCTTGATCCTTCCCTGCTAAAGAAGGCTGATGCTACAAACTACATACCTGTTGCAGCCCAGCCATCTGTGTGACACTTTTTCACCCGAAATGAAGAGCGAATTATCCCAACTATTATTTAGTTATTTATTTAACTCCGGAGATCATTCGGAGTTTCGGAGTGCGATGTCATCTGTACGCGGATGATGTCCAACTCTGTCACTCCTTTCCACCTGCTACTAAGGAGGCGGTCCAGGTCCTGAACCGGTGCTTGGCCGCTGTGACGGTCTGGATGAGGGCGAACAAATTGAAATTGAATCCAGACAAGACAGAGGTACTCCTGGTCAGTCGTAAGGCCAAACAGGGTATAGGGTTACAGCCTGTGTTGGATGGGGTCGCACTCCCCCTGAAGACGCAGGTTCGCAGCTTGGGTGTGACCCTGGACTCATCATTGAGCCTGGACCCCCAGGTTTCGGTGGTGACCTTGTGTTAAAACTTGTGCGCCAGCTGCGCCTGTATCTTGGGAAGTCTGACTTGGCCACGGTAGTCCACGCTCTGGTTACATCCCGTTTAGACTACTGCAACGCTCTCTACGTGGGGTTGCCTTTGAAGACTGCTCGGAAGCTCCAATTAGTCCAACGTTCGGCAGCCATGATACTAACAGGAGCGGAGCGCAGGGAGCATACAACCCCCCTGTTGCGCCAACTCCACTGGCTACCGATCTGCTACCGAGCTGAATTCAAAGTGCTGGCGTTGGCCTTTAAAGCCCTAAACGGTTCTGGCCCAACTTACCTATCCGAACGTATCTCGGCCTATCAGCCCACCAGGACCCTAAGATCTTCTGGGGAGGCCCTGCTCTCTATCCCGCCTGCTTCACAGGTGCGGCTGGCAGGGACGAGAGACAGGGCCTTTTCTGTGGTGGCCCCTCGGCTATGGAACGCCCTTCCCATGGAGGTAAGATCAGCCCCCTCGCTGATGGTGTTCCGAAGAAGATTAAAAACCTGGATGTTCGAACAGGCATTTGGTTAATCGGTGCAATGAATGTGATGATTACAGGAATGGTAATATGGACGACGAAACTGGATCACGATTTTAGTCATGAGATGCATTGGGTTGTTATTGTTGTGTCAAGATTGTGTATTATGCTTTTATGGTTTTAAATTGTATATTGTTGACTGTTGTACCTTTGTTGTAAACTGCGTTGAGTCGCCTGTTAGGCTGAGAAACTGCGGTATACAAGTAAAGTAAAGTAAATAAATAAATAAATAAATAATATTTATTTACAGTATTTATATTCCGCCCTTCTCGCCCCTACGAACCATCAAGATTATTAAGATCGTCTGGAGAGGCCCTGCTCTCGGTCCCACCAGCCTCGCAAGCGCGTCTGGTGGGGACGAGGGACAGGGCCTTCTCGGTGGTGGCCCCTCGACTCTGGAACTCTCTCCCACTGGAGATCAGAACCGCCCCTTCTATCCTGACATTTAGGAAACAGGTGAAGACTTGGCTATGGAGACAGGCATTCGAAGAGTGAGTCAACACCCTGAGATATGGATGGAGGATGATGAGCAACGATTTTAGTGTGACGACTGACCATTATAGTTATTGATTGTAATTGCTGTTTTAATGTTTTACTGTAATATGTATTATGATGTTTTATTGATTGTATGTGATATTATGGTTGGAAACCGGTCTGAGTCCCTCAAGAGAGGTGAGAAGGCCGGTATACAAAACTTTTAAATAAATAAATAAGCCTTCAATGCCATAGACACACAACACATATAGACACAGACAGCCAGAGGCTATTTAACATTCCAATTTTCTGGCCACCGGGGGAGCTGTTGCTTCCCCGTCCATCTGCGACATTGATGAAGTACTTTCCGCATTCCCCGCATGCTTTTGCTGGAGATTTTTTTATGGCTTCATAAATTTGTTAAATTAGCCTCCCTACACATAGGTGGTACCTAAATTTCCTACTTGACAGATGCAACTGTCTTTCGGGTTGCAAAGTCGACAACAAGCTACACAAATTGGCTGGAAGCTCACTTCAACCTGGGCTGGCTTTGAACTCATGACCTTTCGGTCAGAAGTGATCTTAGAATCATAGAATCATAGAATTGGAAGAGACCTCATGGGCCATCCAGTCCAACCCCCTTCTGCAAGAAGCAGGAATATTGCATTCAAATCACCCCTGACAGATGGCCATCCAGCCTCTGCTTAAAAGCTTCCAAAGAAGGAGCCTCCACCACACTCTGGGGCAGAGAGTTCCACTGCTGAACGGCTCTCACAGTCAGGAAGTTCTTCCTCATGTTCAGATGGACTCTCCTCTCTTGTAGTTTGAAGCCATTGTTCCATTGCGTCCTAGTCTCCAAGGAAGCAGAAAACAAGCTTGCTCCCTCCTCCCTGTGGCTTCCTCTCACATATTTATACATGGCTATCATATCTCCTCTCAGCCTTCTCTTCTTCAGGCTAAACATGCCCAGCTCCTTAAGCCGCTCCTCATAGGGCTTGTTCTCCAGACCCTTGATCATTTTAGTCGCCCTCCTCTGAACACATTCCAGCTTGTCAATATCTCTCTTGAATTGTGGTGCCCAGAATTGGACACAATATTCCAGATGTGGTCTAACCAAAGCAGAATAGAGGGGTAGCATTGACTTCCCTAGATCTAGACACTATGCTCCTATTGATGCAGGCCAAAATCCCATTGGCTTTTTTTGCCGTCACATCACATTGTTGGCTCATGTTTAACTTGTCCACAAGGACTCCAAGATCTTTTTCACGTGTACTGCTCTCAAGTCAGGCATCATCCCCCATTCTGTATCTTTGCATTTTTTTCCTACCAAAGTGGAGTATCTTGCATTTGTCACTGTTGAACTTCATTTTGTTAGTTTTGGCCCATCATCTCTCATCTGTCAAGATCGTTTTGAATTCTGCTCCTGTCCTCTGGAGTCTTGGCTCTCCCTCCCAATTTGGTGTTGTCTGCAAACTTGATGATCATGCCTTCTAGCCCTTCATCTAAGTCATTAATAAAGATATTGAACAGGACCGGGCTCGAGGACGGAACCCTGCGGCACTCCACTTGTCTATAGCTATAGCTCAGCCAAAAAGTATTCGATCCACTGATTTAAAGTTTATTAAACAAATTAATGTTCTATAGAAAAAGAACTGTTTCAAAAATATATTTCAAGGTAAAAGATACAAAAGTAATTCCAAGGTATATGTAATAGGTCAAAACAAAAGTACATCCAAAGTACAGGATTTAAAAGGCATTCCAAAATATATTTCACAGTCATAGTGTTCGTTGATGTAGCAATAAGCAAAGCCAAGTAATTAGAATAAAGCCAGGGTCCCCAAAAGCTAAACAAAGGACTGTATCCAAACGAGATCCCCTGATCACAGACAGAAAAACATGACATGAAATCAAGGTAGAAACTCCTACCGCTGAGCTCAAGGAAAAGATGATTTTTTCCTGAGAATACAAGGTTGTACTCACACAGAGCAACCAAAGAAGATAGCTTAAGAAATGTATTTTTTCCCTTGGTGATACTATCTGTCTGACACCTGGAATCCCTCTGTTTATTTTTCAAACGCTGAAAAAACCTTAATTGCCTCTGCTTGGCACTATTTTCTTCGTATTTGAAGAAACGGAGGTATAGTCTTCCACATCTCTCACATTCTTCTCGTTGTTCATTCGTTCAGTCGTCTCCGACTCTTCGTGGCCTCACAGACCAGCCCACGCCAGAGCTCCCTGTCGGCCCTCACCACCCCCAGGGTCTCCTTCAAGGTCCGTCTCCATCCGTCCATCTTGCCCTTGGTCGGCCCCTCTTCCTTTTGCCTTCCACTTTCCCCAGCATCATTCCCTTCTCTAGGCTTTGCTGTCTCCTCATGATGTGGACAAAGGAGTTCAGCTTTGTCTCTAGTCTCCTTCCCTCCAATGAGCACCTTCTTCTCAGGATCAGGGAAAGTCTCTGGCAGAGTCTCATGTGAGTCTAGGAATACAGCTGCCAGTGAGGCAATTCCCATCATCCAGGAAATAACTACTTCCTTCTTGAGGCACTACAGAAGGAGTAGGCTCCAACTCAGGCTCCAGTTCAGGAACACAAAGCCCCAGCAAAGTGCCCTCTTCCTCCTCCTCTTTAGACCAGGCCTCAACAAAACCCCAGGATTGCACAGCATTAAGTAACGGCCATTAAAAGAGAGCTGAAGTCCCTCAAAGAGGAGCTCCTGAAGCAGCTTCCCTTTTGGCTTTGGCTCAGCACTAAGATGACCATATAACATGGATCTAATGCACACCCAAAGTTTGGAGAGGTCATTTAGCCAGAAGTAGGTGAGCATTAGCTTTGAGTAAATATTTATTTATTTATTCATGTATTTACTGCATTTGTATCCCGCATTTCTCAGCCAGAGTCGACTCAAGGTGCTTCACAGTCGGTAGCGATTTGATGCCAAAGCAAATTATAAAGATACAGTTAAAACAATTATCAAAGCAATTAAAACATTTAACATGTGATATAGAATCATAGAATCAAAGAGTTGGAAGAGACCTCATGGGCCATCCAGTCCAACCCCATTCTGCCAAGAAGCAGGAAATTTGCATTCAAAGCACCACTGACAGATGACCACCCAGCCTCTGTTCAAAAGCCTCCAAAGAAGGAGCCTCCACCACTCCATAGCAGAGAATTCCACTGCTGAACAGCTCTCACAATCAGGAAGTTCTTCCTAATGTTCAGATGTAATCTTCTATCTTCAGGGGACAAGTTAGTGACCTCCTGCTGGAAATTGGAAATTTCTGCCTATTCTCCACTGACTGAATGAATCATAGAATCATAGAATCAAAGCATTGGAAGAGACCTCATGGGCCATCCAGTCCAACCCCCTGCCAAGAAGCAGGAATATTGCATTCAAATCACCCCTGACAGATGGCCATCCAGCCTCTGTTTAAAAGCTTCCAAAGAAGGAGCCTCCAACACACTCCAGGGCAGAGAGTTCCACTGCTGAACAGCTCTCACAGTCAGGAAGTTCTTCCTCATGTTCAGATGGCTCTCATCATGTCTCCTCTCAGCCTTCTCTTCTTCAGGCTAAACATGCCCAGCTCCTTAAGCCACTCCTCATAGGGCTTGTTCTCCAGACCCTTGATCATTTTAGTCACCCTCCTCTGGACACATTCCAGCTTGTCAATATCTCTCTTGAATTGTGGTGCCCAGAATTGGACACAATGTATTCCAGGTGTGGTCTAACCAATGCAGAATAGAGGGGTAGCATGACTTCCCTAAATCTGGGAAGGGTGTTCCATAGCCGAGGGGTCACCACTGAGAAGGCCCCATCTCTCGTCCCTGCCAAACGTACCTGCGAGGAAGGCAGGATTGAGAGCAGGGCCTCCCCAAACGATCTTAAGGTCCTAGATGGTTCATAAGGGGAGATACGTTCAGATAGGTAAACCGGACCGGAACCGTGTATATGCTGCATTCCTTCCCTTCATTGCTGTTGCCCTCCTTTCAGCGCCTGCCCAGGGAAGACCTCTACAGCCCCCCCATCGTCCTCAAAGTCATCGACAACAGACCCTTTGGCCGGAAGCCTGTGGTGGGTCAGTGCAGCATCCGGTCCTTAGAGAGCTTCGTCTGCGATCCCTACAAGGAGGAAGCGGCCTTCGCCGAAGTGCAAGCAGGTAAGGTAATCCAAGCAGGGTTTGGGGTTCAGCCTGAGTTTGAACTTGAACCTGATTCTCTGTTTGTTCCTCCTGATGCTAATGAAAATATATTTACTGATGCTAATGAAAATGTACCTCTTGATGCCAATGCTCCTGAAATTAGTGAGGAAGAAACTTCTGTAGATTTGGAAAATGAAAGTACCAGTGTTCATGAGAATGTTTCAGAGGGAGACCTTGAACTTTCCCTCCCTTCTGCACCTGTTAACTGTAATGACAACAGAAGGGGCCAAATTTGGGAAGACAGAAGTAAATCACTCAGTTTGCGTCGATCCTCCCGAATTCAAGAATTAAAAACATTGGCTTCAAAACAGAAGGGCGGTTCACGGAACCAATTCTTGAGTTTTAATTGCAATACGCCGGGCTGATTGTCTCAGTTCAGGCATCGTTTCAGAATTGATGAAGACCTTGGCAGTTCTCCCGGTTCCCTGGCCATAGTTTGGGAAGATTTCTAGGATATCAAGTACGGTTAGTGGATTGCTAACAGGTTCCAGTATTTCACAGTGAGGCTTTTGGTTTTGCTTTGTCCATTTAAATTCATGTTTGCTGATTTTGCTGTGGCTTTTGACTTGCATTTTTCCTTTATTTTGTAACCATTTTTCTTCAATAAAAAAGGATTGTTTTTCACAGCCAAGTGTGGTGGATAGTTATCTTAGGGCCTCGTTCCCTGCTCTGGATTGCAACAATTGAATACATTTATTACAATCTGACAGCAAACCGTGCATGTGAAGCTTATCTGTTCCTCCAGGAATGCTTGTACAAGGGTTGAATGAAAAGTAATGCCTCCACCTTCGTTACTTGGGTTTGGATGGGAATATTTTAATAAATCAAACACAGAAATAATCCTTAGAATGTGCTCTTTAACTACCACTATTCACTTTTCCACATAATCACCAGACAATTGGATACATTTCTGCCAACAATGAACAAGTTTTCTGAAGCCGTCACAGAAGAAGTCGACACTCTGTTTCCGCAACCCATCGTGCACAGATCTTCGATAGCCAAGCAAAGCAATAATGTGACCCACACGTTCTTGTGAAATGCTGATTATGCTTGCAATTTCTCTCTGAGTGATACGACGATCATCCTGAATCAATCTGTCAATCTTTTGCTTGTGAAACTCAGTGGTTGCTGTCACAGGACGCCCAACTCTTGGTTTGTCATGCAAGTCAGATGTTCCCACCTCAACATCTTTAAACTTATTCGCCAGTGACGCACAGTACTCACATCAACACAATCACCATAAACAGCTTGCATTCTCTGATGAATCTCCTTTCGTGCTGTCAAGAATTCAATGACTGCACATTGCTTAAGTCGCATTGACTGACCGTCTGCGCAGGGTTCCATACTTTGCTCTTTAACAACACAACCATCCAATGCTAAGGCTTCCCACCAAAATGGAACTGTAGAGGAGAGTCTACTGAACAAGCCAGTACCTGCCGCATACCAGAACTGCCATCTGTTGAGGAGCTACGAAGGTGGAGGCATTACTTTTCATTCAACCCTCGTAGAATTGGGTGGATAAAAGAATGTTGGAAGCCACTTCAGAAGGATCAATACAACAAAACATGTCTTATTGTCTCCACTGAGCCAAAGCACAATAGGGGACATGGTTCTACCTCCCCTCTCATAAGGTTTTTATTTATTTATTTATTGTGTCAGGAGCAACCAGACAGTTGTATTACATTTTTAACAAAACAAACAAACAAACAAACAAACAAACAGACAAAACACAAAGTTTGCAAGCTTGGTAGTTGATTAAATGTCCTTTGACCAGTATCTGGCCACTTGGAGTGCCTCTGGTGTTGCTGCAAGAAGGTCCTCCATTGTGCATGTGGCAGGGCTCAGGGTGCATTGCAGCAGGTGGTCTGTGGTTTGCTCTTCTCCACACTCGCATGTCGTGGATTCCACTTTGTGGCCCCATTTCTTAAGGTTGGCTCTGCATCTCGTGGTGCCAGAGCGCAGTCTGTTCAGCGCCTTCCAAGTCGCCCAGTCCTCTGTGTGCCCAGTGGGGAGTCTCTCACTTGGTATCAGCCATTGGTTGAGGTTCTGGGTTTGAGCCTGCCACTTTTGGACTCTTGCTTGCTGAGGTGTTCCAGCGAGTGTCTCTGTAGATCTTAGAAAACTATTTCTTGATTTAAGTCGTTGACGTGCTGGCTGATACCCAAACAAGGGATGAGCTGGAGATGTCTCTGCCTTGGTCCTTTCACTATTGGCTGCAACTTCCCGGAGGATGTCAGGTGGTGCAATACCGGCTAAGCAGTGTAATTTCTCCAGTGGTGTAGGGCGCAGACACCCCGTGATAATGCGGCATGTCTCATTAAGAGCCACATCCACTGTTTTAGCGTGGTGAGATGTGTTCCACACTGGGCATGCATACTCAGCAGCAGAGTAGCAAAGCGCAAGGGCAGATGTCTTCACTGTGTCTGGTTGTGATCCCCAGGTTGTGCCAGTCAGCTTTCGTACGATATTATTTCTAGCGCCCACTTTCTGCTTGATATTCAGGCAGTGCTTCTTGTAGGTCAGAGCACGGTCCAGAGTGACTCCTCCCAGGTATTTGGGTGCGCAGGTCCATGACACCAAGTGCGGAGGAGAGCTAACCACAGAGCAGTGACTACAATGCAGCCTGAGCCATGCCACGTACACAATGGAGGACCTTCTTATAGCAGCACCAGATGCACTCCCAAGTGGCTACAGGTCAAAGGATATCTAATAGAATGCCAATAAATAAATAAATCGAAAGGAATGTTGTGGTAAACTGGATGAATCATAATAGCGGCAGAATTAGATGTCTCTTCCATTCCCCTTTTGGTATTGTGTTTTAATTTCTTCCTTTTCTTTTTTTGCAGACGATGTGAGCCTAACGCCTAGAGAAGACGTCCTCATTGATATCGATGACAAGGAGCCCCTCATTCCGGTCCAGGTAACTCAGTTAGAGCGGAGTCAGCTCTACTTGGTTCTCATTAACCAAGGGCTTTGGATGCAATGCTTAAAACAGTCACTAGGTGGCAATCAGAAACCTTTGACTGAGGCTTATTTTTTCAGGAACCTAACATTGAGTTCAAGGGACCTCATTTAGGTCCCTAAATCATATGTTTTATGGGGAAGAAAACAGAGAGAACCTTGAACATTTCTGGTCCTAGAATCATAGAGTTGGAAGGGACCACCTGGGCCATCTTGTCCAACCCCCCTCTGCCCTCATGCAGGAGAAGCACAATCAACCCCCTGACTTGCCCCTTATAAAAGGTGGGGTTTATTTGAGAAATAAAATCCCAAAAAGACAGAATACTACTTAGAAATGAATGTGGCTTCTCTTAATTAAAAGCCCAAAAACAAAAGCTGCACTAAGCTGGAACTTTTTCCTGGCCGAAAAACCTTTTGAAAACCCTCTGGCCACCACCAAACTTAGAAGCCCTGATAAGCTCTTAGTTTACTGGAAGTATCTAAGGCAAGAGTGTGTTGGATTAGCCCTCAGGCTTGTGTTCTGAGGTAACACTAAAAAATTGTACTTTAAAATCTACGCTGCCACCATTAGTCTCCTGTTGGCTGCAGGAAACTGCTTTTAAAACTTCACCCACAGAGGCACACATGAGGCAGATGTTGTGAACAACAAAACAATGATGTTTATTTAAGAGAATAGGAACAATTCAGGTATAAAGCTTGGCTGTTTCAGAGTATTGACTTAAAAGCACGTGGTTACTTTAAGCAGTTCAGACTTAGTTATACAGGAATACTTCTCTCTTCCCCCACAGAAATACTGACAGGATTGCTTCTCTGAAAGTAATTCTAAACACCAGCACAGGTAGTCCAACCCTGGATCCATCTCTTCACTCCTCCACCAGCTATCTCTCTAATAGCTGTAAAAATCCTTCCACTTTCTGGGCTTACTTTTCTAGGCTTTTCCTAGCCTAACAGGTAGGGTATTCACTACACCCCTTCACTGACAGATGGCCATCCAGCCTCTGTTTAAAAGCCTCCAAGGAAGAAGATCCCACCTGGTTAGTTCATTGTGGGTCCCACTCTCCATCCACCTCCTCTAAGTGTTTTCAAATTGCCAGTTTGCTCACCTTACACCCTAACATCATTCCTCATGTATTCAATATCAAACTGTTCGAAATTGTGGGAGTTGAAGTCCAAAATACCTGGAGGCCTGTGTCTGATCTATCTAATGGAGAATCTTTGTGCTATCAGTAATACAGAAACATGACTGCTCCCTATCCACACATCCCTGGGGTTGGCAAAGCAAATTTCTCTCTTGGACTGCAACTCCTAGTAGCCCCATGATCAGCATATTAGCCAGCAGGGAGCAATGATGATGGGAGCTGCAGAGCATCAACATCAGGAAGGCCCCATGAATCCCCATCCCTGGTGCAAACCATTGACCAGAAGACTTTTAGGGCCAATGGACATAGAATCACAGCATCATAGAGTTGGAAGAGACCTCACCCACACTTTTTCAATGAGCTGGTTGAGTTGTTGTGTCAGCTCAGGTCCTCCCTCTTTAAAGATTTCAACAGGGATCCCATCAGGTCCACTGGCTTTGTTATTTTTTTGTTGGTTGATGGCATTGCTGACTTCTTCCAAATTAGGCAGTGCTGCAAGCTCATCCCGGGTTTGTTGTTGTGGGATTTGTGAGAGAACCTCTTCAGCCACATTGGAGTTCAGGAACCAGGTGTTGGGAGAGTGGGCTTATTGACAAAAGACCCTCCCCATGAATGCACAGCAGAGTAACTTATTAGCAGCAGCGTGACCCAGCACCAGGAGCCCAAAGTGATAAAAGAACAAAAACACGCAGAACAATTGGGTTGTTGTAGGGTTTTTCGGGCTATATGGCCATGTTCTAGAGGCATTCTCTCCTGACATTTCGCCTGCATCTATGGCAAGCATCCTCAGAGGTAGTGAGGTCCTCTGAGGGTGCTTGCCATAGATGCAGGCGAAATGGCAGGAGAGAATGCCTCTAAAACATGGCCATATAGCCCGAAAAAACCTACAACAACCCAGTGATTCCGGCCATGAAAGCCTTCGACAATACACAGAATAATGTTATCTCTTCCATAGGAGGCTTTTCTTTGTAGCAAAATAATATTTATTTATTTATTTATTATTCGAACTTTATTATGCCGCCACTCCTCTGGGGCTCGGTGCGGCTTACAAGAATGGCTAAAATCTAATACAATTTAATACAATATGGTTGCATTATTTACAAGAACAAGGTTTCCATAACTCATTTTTTTTTTACATTTCCTTCTTTGCTTCCACGCTGGGCTTCTTTCTTATGCAGATAAACAGCTTTGTTCTCACAGAGGCTCTTCTCACACCGAATTTACACAGGAGCTTCACATAGTAACTTTACATACAAGCCTTCTCATACTGAGGGGGCCTTCTCATCTGAGGCCTACTAACACTGAGGCCTTCTCATACTGAGGCCTACTCACACTGAGGCCTTCTCATATTGAGGCCTACTAACACACTGAGGCCTTTCTCCCACTGAGGTTTACCTCAGACTGACAGCTACTAAGCTACAGACAGCTGCTTATATAGAACTGCAGCTTTTGCAGCGTAATTGCATAGAATCATAGAATCTTAGAGTTGGGCCATCCAGTCCAACCTCATTCTGCCAAGAAGCAGGAATATTGCATTCAAAGCACCCCCGACAGATGGCCATCCAGCCTCTGTTTATAAGCTTCCAAAGAAGGAGCCTCCACCACGCTCCGGGGCAGAGAGTTCCACTGCTGAACGGCTCTCACAGTCAGGAAGTTCTTCCTCATGTTCAGATGGAATCTCCTCTCTTGTAGTTTGAAGCCATTGTCCCATTGCGCCCTAGTCTCCAGGGAAGCAGAAAGGAAGCTTGCTCCCTCCACCCTATAACTTCCTCTCACATATTTATTTAATTTTATTTACTCCATTTATATACTGCTTTTCTCAGCCCTCGGGTGACTCAAAACGGTTTACAGTAGCAAAATTTAATGCTTGAACATCATAAAACGGCTTAAAACAATTAAAAACCATAGCATCAATATACAAACATTAGAAAGTCAATACTACATAACTCATGGCATCTCTTCGTTAAAATCAAGATCCAATCTCGTCATCCAGTCGTTTCACGTTCCAATATATTGTCACACTGCCTTTTCAAATGCCTGCTCGAAGAATAAGCCCTAGAACCAAGGCTTAACCTTCCTACAAAATGCTAACAGAGAAGGGCCAATCTAATATCTCTGGGAAGGGCATTCCATAGCCAAGGGGCGACCACTGAGAAGGCCCTGTCTCTCATCCCCGCCAACCGTATTTGTGACGCAGGCGGGATTGAGAGTTGGGCCTCCCCAGATGATCTTTGACAAGGTCCCCCATGACCTTCTGGCAAGGAAACTAGTCCAATGTGGGTGAGGTGAGGTGGATCTGGAATTGGTTAACTGGACGAACCCAGAGGGTGATTCTCCCCAAGGCTTCCTCCTCTTCATCCTGGAAAGAAGTGACGAGCGGAGGGCCACAAGCAGGGTTCCGTCCTGGGCCCGGTCCTGTTCAGGATCTTCATTCATGACTCTTAGATGAAGGGTTAGAAGGCAGAATCATCAAGTTTGCAGACAGGACCAAGTTGGGAGGGAGAGCCAATACTCCAGAGGACAGGAGCAGAATTCAAAACCATCTTGACAGATTAGAGAGATGATGGGCCAAAACTAACAAAATGAAGTTCAACAGGGACAAATGCAAGATACTCCACTTTGGCAGAAAAAACGAAATGCAAAGATACAGAATGGGGGACAATGCCTGGCTCGAGAGCAGTACGTGTGAAAAAGATCTTGGAGTCCTCGTGGACAACAAGTTAAACATGAGCCAGGAATGTGATGTGGCGGCAAAAAAAGCCAATGGGGTTGTGGCCTGCATCAAGAGGAGCCTAGTGTCTAGATCTAGGGAAGTCCTGCTCCCCATGCTCTATTCCGCTTTGGTTAGACCACACCACCTGGAATATTGTGTCCAATTCTGGGCACCACAATTCAAGAGAGATATTGACAAGCTGGAATGTGTCCAGAGGAGGGCGACTAAAATGATCAAGGGTCTGGAGAACAAGCCCTATGAGGAGCAGCTTAAGGAGCTGGGCATGTTTAGCCTGAAGAGAGAAGGCTGAGAGGAGATATGATAGCCATGTATAAATATGTGAGAGGAAGCCACAGGGAGGAGGAGGGAGCAAGCTTGTTTTCTGCTTCCCTGGAGACTAGGACGCAATGGAACAATGGCTTCAAACTACAAGAGAGGAGATTCCATCTGAACATGAGGAAGAACTTCCTGACTGTGAGAGCCGTCAGCAGTGGAACTCTCTGCCCCGGAGTGTGGTGGAGGCTCCTTCTTTGGAAGCTTTTAAACAGAGGCTGGATGGCCATCTGTCAGGGGTGATTTGAATGCAACATTCCTGCTTCTTGGCAGAATGGGGTTGGACTGGATGATGGCCCAGGAGGTCTCTTCCAACTCTTGGATTCTATGATTGTATGAGGGGTAGCTTGACTCACATTTTTGTAAGTAAAAATACCTAGTTATTTTTTAATATTTCAGACTTTTCCCCCTCCTTCTAGCCTTGGCCAAGATCTTGAAGGACCTTATTTACTCTTTGCTGAACTGTGCCTTCAAAGGATGGGAGATCTGCCTGGTTGCTTTCTCTGATGGGGTGACTCCTCCTTGACAAAGGTGGCCTTTGCTCACCCCCAAACTTTGTTTCACTTCAGAGTGAATTGGGATGAGAAGGTGCCGGAACACACCTTCTTGTGATGGCTCTGGAATGTCTTGGGAGAAGAACCTGGTCCGTTCTTGCTGGGGACAAACAGGAAGGGGTCAAGGGCCAGGGAAGGCTCTGATTCGTTGGGGAACTAGAGCAAAATGTGCTCTCGCAGGATGTCCCTCCCGCAAGGACAATGTTTGTGCTGTTTAGTA